GGGCGGGCGGGGTATTTTATATGGTCCTATGTGTAAAATGCATGCAAAATTGTTATGAAGGGGGGTGTAACAATACACGGAGCATGCGCTACTTGTTGTATGACAGTCACACTCGAACGACAGGGGTAATGTGTGCCTATGTGGTTGTGGGGGTGAGCAGGGAATTCCAGTGTCCTCGCCCCCCCCCCTCACGACTTGGGGAGAATTGGCCAAACAATAACTTAATCCTAGCACCCGATAGAAAACGTCTCGTTCGCAAACATACCTAGATGACCTTTGAAGTGAGACTGAATTGCCTTGTGAAAGACGTAATAGATGACCGTAGTCAACAAGATGTGGGTATTTTAGTAGCGAGAAAAAAGGAACTAATCGGTTATCTATCGTTTCTTTGATGATTCATCTGGTGGCGGAAATAAATGTTTTATGAATGATTTGCGCGAACACACACACCATTGTATATGCACACACGCACGCACGCACCTACATTCGAATGCTTGTTTAGGCCTTGAATGAGTTCCCTAGCTGAATAAATCTCAATGTAAATTCAGTACGATGATTTGTGTATGGCCGGAATGGGCATCACATATGCATGCGTATGGTGATCCAGTTTGCGCGGACGCACGCGCGCACGCATGCACACACAGACGCACACATACACACACACACACTAAACCACACGGTTTACATGATAGCCAAGATGTATATAGTACTCTGGAGACTGAGATGAAGGGCAATACAACAGCTGAGGCTGATGCAAATCCGATTTCGCAAACAAGAGTTCAGTAGGATTTGTGTGTAAATTACACACGAAGTAGAACTTTGAAAATGTCCCGTCATCGTCAAAAATGGTGGCTAAATAGTTCTCCTGATATAACAATAGGCATCTGTGCGAGCGCGCGCGCGCGTGCACGCATGCACGCTCACACGCACGCACGTGAATCGTGAACCAGAGGGAGGGGGACCGAGAACCGAACTGCATTAACTACCTTGTGAGCTTGGCAATCCTTTGCCGCGTCACGTTTGAAAAGGCTGATGCTGATACCTTGGGTAAGGTTGAGAACCGTTTTTTTGTGCTTAAATGTGTGGAGCAGGCGTACAGCGCAAACGGATAGTTTTGTAAACAGCTTCGTTTGTGGTACACATTCAAGTCACTCCGAGCGATTTCGCACAATCCTTTTTGGTTGGAGAGATCTGTCGTAAGAACTCGTGATTTATCGT